ACCCAATCTAAAATATGGGCCTTAAGAATCGCAAGTCGCAAGGTTGCGACGGATGTAGAGAGATGGCAAAGGCGAAGGAAGAGAAAGAGAAAGAGAAAGAGAAAGAGAAAGAGAAAGAGAAAGAGAAAGAGAAAGAGAAAGAGAAAGAGAAAGAGAAAGAGAAAGAGAAAGAGAAAGAGAAAGAGAAAGAGAAGAGAAAGAAAGAGAAAGAGAAAGAGAAAGAGAAAGAGAAAGAAAAAGGAGAAAGAGAAAGAGAAAGAGAAAGAGAAAGAGAAAGAGAAAGAGAAAGAGAAGAGAAAGAGAAAGAGAAAGAGAAAAGAAAGAGAAAGAGAAAAGAAGAGAAAGAGAAAGAGAAAGAGAAGAGAAAGAGAAAGAGAAAGAGAAAGAGAAAAGGAAAGAGAAAGAGAAAGAGAAGAGAAAGAGAAGAGAAAGAGAAAGAAAGAGAAAGAGAAAGAGAAAGAGAAAGAGAAAGAGAAGAGAAGAGAAAGAGAAAGAGAAAGAGAAAGAGAAAAGAAAGAGAAAGAGAAAGAGAAAGAGAAAGAGAAAGAGAAAGAGAAAGAGAAAGAGAAAGAGAAAGAGAAAGAGAAAGAGAAATAGAAAGAGAAATAGAAAGAGAAAGAGAAAGAGAAAGAAAGAGAAAGAGAAAGAGAAATAGAAAGAGAAAGAGAAAGAGAAAGAGAAGAGAAAGAGAAAGAGAAAGAGAAAGAGTAAAGATAAAAGAATAGAAAGAAAAGAGAAAGAGAAAGATAAAGATAAATATAAATATAAATAAAATAAAATATAAATATAAATATAAATATAAATATAAATATAAATATAAAATAAAATATAAATATAAATATAAATATAAATATAAATATAAATATAAATATAAATATAAATATAAATATAAATATAAATTCAATTTCTTCGGAAGATTTTGGAATCCTCGATTTTGTGTATAATTGTGCACGTTACTACACGTAAAATAATGAAAACTGTACTGGGAGACAAATTGGAGATTGTTCTCATTTGCTCTCAATGCCGTTCGCTAAGTAGTAAACTTGAACAGTCCCAAAATAATCGGAGATTTATAAAAATTGCGGAAACATTGAAGAATCTTCTACTGGTGACACTATGCATAATAATAATAGGAATCTTGTTATTTTAATAAAAGTATGTTTTTTGCATAAAAATTTCAGCTTCGTCATAAGCTAATGAAAAATTTAATTGCAGCAGAGAAAACAACGATAATTGATCTGTTATCGAATGATATGAAAAATGATTCAGCTACCAGTTTGACTGTTGGGTTTTGTGGGAAAAAATTTAGTTAATAAATTCGTTTGAAATTTCAGAAAAAAATATAATGGAAATCAACTAAGAAGATTTTATAGTAAATGAGTTATTAAGCGATATCTAAAATTATTGAACTGCTGATGACTATTACAAAGTAGTGTAAGCTTATGATAGAAGTGTGAAAATGCAACTTTCTATGTATTTTTTAATTTTGCATTAAATTAAATCTTTCTTGCATATAATATTATTTCTTATGTATGCATATCTTAGTAAATGCCGGCTTTCTATTAAAAAAATACATAACTTATACCATTTAAAACTGCATTGTCTATGAATTAATTTTACGTACATAAAGTGATGACATTTTATTGAAGAGCATTACACTGCCCAATGGTTTATCAATGATACATTGATTCAAAAAACAGGATTTTTTTTAAAGAGAGCATAATTCATTGTATTTTAACTTCCTGAAAGATAAGTTTGTTTTCATAAAAAAATTCGATTGGCTAATTTTATGTTTTCTCGACGTTTCAAGCCATGCTGAATCGAATGAGACCTTTGGAAAGTATGTGAACAGACTTTTTGTCGTAAATCAACGTTTTCTCAAAAACGGCTGAATCGATTTCAAAAATTTAAAAGCCATTCGATGTATTTCGATACATCGGACTAGCTTTTCTCAGTTTTGTGACGATTGGCCGAGCCGTTTCTTGGTAATTTGGAAAAAGGGTGTTAAATTTTTTGTTCACATTTAAGCTCATACTACCGAATCGATTTTAAAAAATCAAAATCTGTTCAAAAGATATTAGTTGGGAATCATACTAATAAGTTTTAGGTGAAAATCTACCGAGCCTGGAAATGTTTTCTTGGAATAAACTGTTGACAAAAATTAAGGATTTTTACGAAACTTTTTTTGGTGTTATATATCATGGTCTTTTAGAACTTACTGAAATATTTCTTATAAACTTACGACAAGTGGTTTAGTTTTAAAAATTCATCAAAGTTTGAGAAAATGAGTAGTTTTTTGATGTTTGTTAAAATTAAAATTAGACGATTTACTTGGTATAACGATAGAGTACTTGGTCTTAATGAACACACTAAACCATTAAAGTCCTACGGCATATGGTACAATTATAAAATTTATTGATTTGTGAAAATTTGTTTTCAGAAAATACTCTTAGTTAAAGTGTTCGTTCGTTTTCAATTATGTGTAATAGTGGAGTTATTACATACTTTTAATCACTCATAAATTAATTTATTTTTTATTGATTAAGTTGATTATTTACACATATCGAGAAGTTCATGTAACTTGCCTCAAGGCAAAATACCAATACCAACTAATTTATTATTCGTTTATTGCATCAGATATTGGATCAGATAATACTAATATACATTTTTAAAGTCATTTATATTGCAAAGAAAACTTCAGTGATGCTTGTAATTATTATCACGTTAATCGCTACAATAAAATCAGAATATTTTCCACATGGTTCATAGTAATTTTATTAGATAACTAGCTGACCCGGCAAACGTTGTTTTGCTAAGTAAGGTATATTGTAAACAATTTCTAAAGAATCAAAAATATTACTACTTGAAGTGTATTAGGATGTGTTGTTTGAATGCTATATACAATGAGGTATCAGAACAACAACAAACCCTATTAGTTAGTCTATATTTTGTCAATACAATCAAACTGGAAGTTTTATACACTTTTTATAGAAAACATGGTATAATGCAATCTAAGTCTTTTTTGGTCTTTCGACTTATTGATTGCGTGTCAAGTTTTTCAGAATCTTTTTGGATTCTGGATTTTGTGTATAATTGTAAATAATACTACAGAGCTTATACAAAATTTTCAAATTTCTGCGAGGAAAGAGGAGAGATAGAAAATGAATTAAGTATTTCTTCTTTGACATGCTTTTTGAAAAGTTTTAAGTGACATTCGACGAATTAAAGTAAATTTAATAAAAAGTATATATGTAGAGCAGGGCGAGGCATAAATGTTCAATTTGACTTTGAGCAAATAATTATATTTTACAAACCAAACCAATTGGTATCATATATCACAACAAATAACTCATTTCAAACGAACGACTATCTGCAGATGACTACTTTCTTTTTATCATTGTAGAAATGTGCTTTTTTGATGTCTTTCAAAAATTTGTTATCTGAATATTTTTACCCCATAGACGGAGTAACTTGGAACGGCCAGGTGGCAAACAGGTTTAATGTCCTATTTTAATTTTAAAGGTATTCTACAAAATAATTACATTTTTAACTAATGCTAAAAACCTACCAACGGAAAACTTTTATTATGGATTTTCAAAGATTACCGTTTATCTCCCAATAGCAAAGTCATGAAAATCAAGGTTGTAGCTGGTTATACATCTTTTTCCCTCCTCTTTTAAATATTGTTGTTAAACAATGCTTAAGTTTACTGGTTTTTGACACATCTTGGAGGACCTTTTTAACCCCGGACCTTTATACATTACTATCTATTTTTCGATAAATTCTGGGAAATTATAACTGGGAAAATGTTATTCGACAAATGTCACTTTGATCGATACGAAATGTAGGTTCTGAATTTGAATAACATAAATAAAAAATAATATAACTTAGAAAATGTTTTATAAATACCAATAAGTATATAATTATACAAATGAGATCTTTTAGAGTATCGTGTTTGAGAAAAATATGATTTGCAAAAAAGAGTGCTACAAAGACAAAAAATGCATTTTCATATTAACATTTCAAAAAAGTTGATATTTTGAGTTTCTAGTAACACTTGCGGCCCGTTTAATAATGTTATTGTGTATAAATATAACTACGAACAAAACTACTTACTATAATTTAATCATAATTAAATGATATTCACGTAAAACTTGCTGTTAAAAGTAATTGAACATCATCTGTCAAAAACGTTTGACATTTCACTATTAGCCACCGTCTATTGTTTTATTCAAATGACGCTTCTACAAAAATTTTCAAACTAAAAATGTAAAGTTTCTACGCAAAGTTGAAATAATATCTCAACTTTCCGACAACCTACTGATTGGCATGAATTTTTCAAGACTAAGACTGGCCAAATGGGTTCAGCCGTTTTCGAGTTTTACTCGAACATTTGAAAGAGAGCTCCATTTTTATATATAAGATTTAGTTTAAATCGTAAAGAGCTCATAAGCTCAGAAAAATTCAATGGAAATGTTTACAAAAAAGGCGATAACTGATCAGTTGCCTTACGGGATGAATACTTATTAAGTATACTTAATACTCCCGTACGGCATTTGAGTTGATTTTTTATAATGCTAATAGAAATCTATTTATATTTCTATTAGCATTATAAAAAATAAACTCAAATTAATCAATCAACCGGAATGACTATTATGGATTAGGGGCTTGTGAAGGGCGAAAATTTTGGGTTGTATGTGTTTCTGTTAATTGCGCTTAAAAAAAATTGGTCGAAAAGTGGCAAAAAATGTTAAGTGGTCAACTCTTACCTCTTAGGAACAATAAAAATACCTCTTAGTCCGATTTTCAATCCTACTTAACACGATTATATAAAAATCAGTCAAGTCGTTAAATCTATTGTATGTACTAAAAATATGCATAATTCAATTGGCGTCAGAAACTAGAAATTTGTTTATTTATATGTAATACATTCATCTATAAAAACACTAAACATGTTTAATTTGCAAAATGTCGCCATCATCATCGTATATTGGTTTCAGATTCCAAAATTTGAAACAGGCATTGGGACGTAGTCTCCCAAACGAAGCACCTAAAGCACCCCAATGGGATGCTTATAATTATTATCGGCAGTCTTTATTGGGTTCCGAAGATGGGGCAGTCTTACTCACTCCTTCAAGGACACCCAAGAGAACCAGAAACCCTAGGAAAAACCAAGGCAGAAAGCAGAGTCGGAAACAACTTGGTATGGTTTAGTTATAAGTACGAAACAACTATAACTTGAAAGATACATTCTAAATTAAAAAATATGACCGATGGTTTCCCTTTTAATAGGTTTATTTTTTGGGCCTATAATATGTGAAAGACGTCTCAACTATATTTTTTTTTATCAAAATCTACTTTAGCTTGAACTAATTTACTTTTTTTTTATTTATAAGTTTTCCAAAAATAGTGGGATTATTTATATTCAACTTTTTATGGGCCGAATTTTTATTTTACATAAAAAAATAGGGAAACAAAAAAATTGTAATAATAAGCATATTCGTGCTTATTAAAAACAAACAAAAAATCGTATTGGTGAATTATGTGACTCTCTCTGTGACTTGATACAGCCTTTAATGTCGTACTTATTCTGTGCAATGTTAATTCAGGCTAAAAAGTTCAGAAAAGTTCATAATTATATTGACATTAGTTGTCTTGACGTCTTTATAGAATTAAGATTTATGCGTCATCTCACGAAAAACGACATAATTATGTGTTAAAATATTCACAAATTTCGAATATGACCTGAAAATTACGCGGGTCGATAGAACGTTAGGGTGGGCAGTGTATTAATATACTTTCTCGATAAGTGAAAAAAATTAAGTTGATCAACAACAATTCAGAATTATTAATTATATAAAGCGGTGTAATTGATTTCGGCGAACGCACCTGCAGCGTTCGGTGCCTAGCTACTGACAATGATTTCACGCACCATATGCGTGCGCAGTAGTGAACGTGAAAAAATAGTTATGTATTGATCTTTTGATAAATGTATGAGTTTATATGAAAATAATGTGGTATTGTTGCGTTTATACTTGTTCATCTATGCGTTTAAAATTGAATAATATTCTTACTCTCATTTATATTATTTATATATTTATATTTATATTATTATTATCATTATTATAGTGATTATTATAATATTATTTGATACAAAACATTATCTATTTTCTGTCATTTGTATAATTTTCTTCTCCTTGCAGATTTCTCGTCTGTCGAACAAGAGCTAAATATTGAATGCACCGATTCCGATGAATGATTTTTTATAAACCAAGTATAACTTGACTTTTAATTATTTACTAATGTAATTTATATATTTATGTTATTTTTATTTATTTATTAATATTTTATATTCAGCGTTTTATAAAAAATGTTTTACTATTTATTGTAAAAAATAAATATTCTGCTAAATATTCTGTTATATATTGAAATTTATTGAGTCTGCTAAAACGAAATTGGTAAAGTTGTATGCTGAATTAGGTAAAACATTTTGCAAATGTTTGCAGGGTTTCCTTTTCCGTAGGCGAGCATAGTTGTTATTATCAACTTTTCAGTGTTAACAATGAAATTGTTTGTCAACTACTCGTTCACTTCATTCTTTCAGTAACACTACCATGAATTCATTGTTTTGCTCTTTGGTGCTAAACTAAATGTGATAATTAATTAATTTAGGCAATTGTTGCTTCAAACTCAAGCTTGAACTGCCCTCTTTAACTTCCCTTAGAGTAAGTTAATGTAATCGTCAAAAATGTGGCATACCTCAGAAAAAACGGGTGTGTGTGTTTTTTTGTGTAGCCAAGGAAATGCATTTAAAGAAACTCGTGTTCTTTATACTACGTATATTGTTTATTATGACAATGGTAATGATACTATGTGTGATTATATTTATCATTTACAAAACGTAGATATTGTTTTAGTATTTATAATGGAAAAGGAAAAAAAGTTAAGAATTATAATTTTTGCAAATTCGACTAGGGAGAAACAAAAGCCGTGTCCGATCTGACACTTGAATTTATTTTTGTTTTCTCCGTGCTGTCACTATATGGGCCTATCTGTCCAGTAGACATGTGATGCGTGTTGACAAGCCGCGATGCGTGTTGGCAACCCGCTACATCACTCCGCCCTAATGAAAAAGATTGTTTCGCATCTCTAACTGCCATCTTGAACTCCCTTGTAAATTTCTTTTGGTTGAGATTGTGTGATAAATTTTATTTGTTCGTGGCCGTGGCCGTTTTGAATGCCGTGTTGGCTTGTTGAGTTTGTTGATTGCTTACGTGGCCCTTTGCTGGTGAGTTAGCGGTTGAGTAGATGTGGCCCTTCGCTGGTGAGTTAGCGGCTGAGTATATTTGACACTTCGCTGGTGAGTTAGCGGTTGAGTGTATGTGGCCCTTCGCTGGTGAGTTAGCGGTTGAGTGTATGTGGCCCTTTGCTGGTGAGTTAGCGGTTGAGTGTATGTGGCCCTTCGCTGGTGAGTTAGCGGTTGAGTATATGTGGCCCTTCGCTGGTGAGTTAGCGGTTGATTGTATGTGGCCCTTCGCTGGTGAGTTAGCGGTTGATTGTATGTGGCCCTTCGCTGGTGAGTTAGCGGTTGATTGTATGTGGCCCTTCGCTGGTGAGTTAGCGGCTAAGTGTATATGGCGGTTGCCAAATTGTTTGTGCTCCCTGTCCTCTGCCGTGGTGCTTATAATCGACTCATTTTCCATGATAATGAAGGATTTATTGAGCACGTGTTGTTGTTGTTCTCGATGTGCGTGGTCGGAGTCTCAGCTGTAGGATTAGAATGTCCTTCGAGTTATGGCGGTTGTGAGCCATTTATATTAATTATATATATTTTTTTTTAAAAAAATTCTTTTCTTAATAATTCATGAGACTTCAATTTATTTTTTTGTTACTTCTAAATGTGTCTTGATCTTCTACCTTCTTTCCTTCTATATGCGTGCAATTAATTCACGTCGGGGTCACCACTAAAGAAACTCGTGTTCTTTATACTACGTATATTGTTTATTATGACAATGGTAATGACACTATGTGTGATTATATTTATCATTTACAAAACGTAGATATTGTTTAGTATTTATAATGGAAAAGGAAAAAAGTTAAGAGTTATAATTTTTGCAAATTCGACTAGGGAGAAACAAAAGCCGTGTCCGATCTGACACTTGAATTTATTTTTGTTTTCTCCGTGCTGTCACTATATGGGCCTATCTGTCCAGTAGACATGTGATGCGTGTTGACAAGCCGCGATGCGTGTTGGCAACCCGCTACACATTTATGCATCCCAGAATGGTCTTTTGTCTGCGATGCATAAATCATGTCATAAGTCATCGCAGACTGGGTATGTCGGACTCAATACCGCCTAGGTATAATACCGACTAAAACCTCCGCTTTGCCCTTGCCTCTGGTCCCCACGGAAAGCACTGTTAGGCATAACTACATGGGGGGGGGGGTATCTAAAATATTATCATTCTTGCACCGATTTTATATTTATCTTTTAAATGAACGAAATCCCATTCGCTCTTCTCTTTCCATAGATCGCGGGTCAATTAGCATATCTTTCGCAAATCTGTCTATGGGTTCTAAGCAGCCTCAGTTGTCAGAATCACTTCTACAATAGTATCTGAAGTAATTCTTCGGCTCAATATTTCTTCTACAATCTGGCGAGCTATCGTGCTCGAAGCGGTGTAGATACAGCATTTGCATAGTGCAATAATGAACTTCACCATGCGTGCGATTTAGCCATACTTTGATGTTTGGAATGGGACGATGCGTCCATCTGCCCTTCACTGCGATAATCCACAATTATCTGCTGTTCTTCTATTCTCAACTTTTCAGGACACAGTTGTTGATGTCTTCGTTAGTAAATTGTCCGTCTTTCTTCTGCTAAGACTAAGAGAGGCAGAGTTCCTGAAATGACGCACACTGCTTTCTCCGATATTGTGCGAAATGAGCAAGCAACTCTTAAAGCACTCAGGCGATATATAGAGGTTCTGCCATCCTCCGCGATTTTTGAGTTTTGAGGGCGTCGGCCCATATTGGGATACCATATGTAGGCACCGAAGTAACCACTGATGTTAGTAATATCTTCATGGTTTGTTTTGAGCCTTCAACAATAGGCATCAGTCGAGCAATACTCGTCCTAACTACTGACCGCCTTAGCACAAACGTGTTCCACCTGTTGATTAAAATTCAATCGAGCATCAAGCATTACGCCAAGGTAACAGATGTGAGGTTTTGACGTGATCTCTAGATTTCCTATTTTCAGCTTGATGGTCTTTTTTGTTTTTCTACTCGTGACAAGAGCAGTTTCACTTTTTTCTTGTGACAATTGGAGGTTCATTGTTTCCATCCGACGACTAATTTTTCTCAAGGTTATGATAAATAGACTTACGATCTCATCATTTTGTTTGGAAACAACTACTATGGCTACATCATCTGCATATACTATTAGTTTGGATCATGCCGCATTCCAGTCTCCAAAGACCTTCATACATATTACTTCAGAAGCGAGGCAGATTTTGCACAACTTCTGTTATTTCTTATCTTCTTCTGTACCATCGCATGAAGTGTACATCAGAATTCTGTCCGTAATGTTGTTTGCGCCTATATGGCAGAGGTAATAGTCTAAGAGCCAGTGAACT